TTTAGATGTAAAAACTCTGATAATTAGGAAAGATATAAAGAGATTTGTAAAGAGTCTAAGAAAGCAATATGTGATATAAAGATTTTAGCTTTTATTATTTTATGTAGTATATTAGATACTAAGGAGTGTGCAAGATATATATATATATAATAGTAAAAAGTTTGTTCAAGTGAAGTGCATTAAGTATGAAGATCAAAAATTTTATTAGAGAGTATTCAACAAAGATGGGTGAGATAATTTGAAAAGCTTTTTGATGAAGATTTTGAGAATATAGTTGACTTTAGTGATCTTAGCACGCTAAATGAGAATAAAGATTTTATTTTTATTGATGTATAAGTAAAACGAAAGTAAGAGAGGTTTTAAAGAAAATGAAGTGTGGAAAAGCAATTAGACATGATGATATTTTAATAGTGGTGTAAAAATGCTTTGGAGATGAAGGAATTTATTGACTTACTAAACTTTTTAATATTATTTTATAGACTAAAAAGATATCAGATGAGTGGAGAATAAGTGTGTTTTGATTCTTATTTTTAAGAGTAAAGGTGATGCACAAGATTGTGTGGATTATTGAGGAACTAAGTTAATGTGCCATACTTTAAAACGAGAGAGAGTTATGGAGCATAGGTTAAGGCGTAATACTAATGTTTCTCAAAATCAATTTGGATTTATGCCGAGTAGGTATACTATGGAAACTATACATTTATTGCAAGGCTTGATAGAGAAGTATAAAGAGAATAAGGAGGATCAGCATATGATATTTATTGATTTAGAGAAACCACATAATAAAGTTTCAAGAGAAGTGCTATAAAGATTTCTAGAAAAGAAAGGGGTTAATAATGCTTATATTGAAGTCATTAAGGATATGTATATAAGATCTATTACTTGTGTTCAAACTCAAGGTGATTTGACCAAGTATTTTCCAATTTTTAGTTGGATTGCATCAAGGATCATCCTTAAGCCCATATCTTTTTTCTTTAGTCATGGATGTTTTCACTAGACATTTGCAAGAGGTTATACTCTGATGTATGCTTTTTGTTGATGATATTCTTATTGTTGATAAGACTAGATAGGGAGTTGAAGGTAAACTTGAATTGTGGAGGTACACCTTAAGAGTCTAAAGATTTTCATTTGACTAAATCTAAAATCGAATATATAGAGTATAATTTTAGTAGTAATAGATCTAGTGGGAGGATTATGACTTTTGGAGATCAACTCATTAATAGGAGTACATGTTTTAAATATATATGGTCTATTGTTCAGAGTGATCGATGGTAAAATAGATGGGGGTGTTATTAGTTGAATTCAAGTTGGATGGTTGAAGTGGAGGAATGCATTGGGCTTATTCTATGATAAAAAAGTCCCCTTCAAATTTAAGGGAAAATCTATAAGATGATGGTGAGACTGACAACGTTTTATGGTGCAAAATGTTGGATATTAAAAGAGAAGCATAATATTAAGTTAAATGTTGCAGAGATGAGGATGCTCAGGTAGATGAGTGACTTTACTCTTAGAGACAAGATACGAAACAGGCATATATGTGAAAAGGTTGGAGTAGCTCCAATGGAAGATAAGATTAGAAAGAATCACTTTAGATGGTTTAGTCATATAAAATGTCGACCTTCCGATGACCAGGTTAGGAGGGTAAATGTATTAGATTTGGTTTATGTTAAAAAACGTAAAGGTAAACATAAAAAGAGTTGGTTAGAAAATATTAAAAATGACCTTTCTTTATTAGATATATTTAAATGACAATTCGACTATTAATAAGACACAATGGAGAAAAATAAATCATGTAGCCAACCCACATAGTCGGATAATGCTTGATGTTGTTGTTGTTGTTGTTTGTAAGGTAATGATGTCACCTATGAATAATTTTGGATCCAACATCCTTTAAATTAGATATGTCCAAATGGAGAGCTAAGGTTTCCTCACCATTAAACATTTCAATCAAATCGAAGATGGAAAAATGTGGATGGTTCAACGAATACCACGCTAAGTGCCAAAAGCCACTCCATAATTTGAAAATTCTAGAAGATGGAACCTCACTTTCTATCATGAATTTAGGTTGGGTAAAGCCTAACTGATAAATATAGTTATGTCATTTTTTATAGCTATATCTATTTTACTTTACAATTAATATGATTAATATGTGTAAGATGATTGAATAATTATAAGATTAAATATTAATTTTTTTAAGTTATCTCTATATAGATCCCTACATTATTGATATTATACTTAACCTTTTATCATTTCCATTATATTACTGGATGATTCACATTGAATATACTTGAAGTCTTTTTTTTTTTTTTAGAAACCCCACGGAAGAGGCTTACACGTTAATTAAAGGTAAAGATACAAGTCCTTAAGGAATCCAAAGCTCACTAAAAAATACATCAATCAAAGAAAACCTACGAGCCTTAGATCTCACCTAATTACAATAGAAACACCAAAAAAGAAAAAAAAAAAACAGCACAGCCAAAAGAAAGCAGCAGCCAGAGGAACAAAGGCCCCAACAGCAACAAGAATATCATTAGGAAGACAAAAACCATCCTAGAACCGTAAGCACCGACAAACAACCCAGGGGACTCAGGCGAAAATCACCTGCAAAAAATATAAAAGAAGGGCCACAAGCCCCCCAAAACGTAGGAAAAAAGAACTCCAGCACAAAGCAGAAGCCTATTTCCTAGCTTTCCTTTTACGTTGTTTAGAACCACGCGAGAAAGTATTACCCACCACCTTACAAAAATCAATACCATACATATCATTAAAAGAATCCATATTGTCCTCACCAATGTCATCAATACCCTCACTCGGAGAGGGGCAATCATCACTCCAAGCAACCGAAGAGATACAGGTAGAACCCACATTAGAAGCCACACAAAAATTGAAGTCATTAAAAGCCATAAAACCCACATGCACCTCAACTAAACCCATAACATAAACAACCGAATCACAAGGAGCAGAACCAACATGCGGGGAAGAATCCCCAACAAAGGGAACCACCGAACCAGGAAGAATGTTTAAATCAGGTTGAGCCTCATCAACCTGATCAGCCACCACCACCAAATCACTATCAAGCACCACCAAAGCACCATCAGCACCTAAAACACCATCAGCCACCACCAAGGAATCAATACCAGCTGCCAAATTTTCACAAGCCACGGTCTTATCAACCTCATTAAACAAATTAAAACCCACCTTCCTTTTGAAAAATAACATCCCCATGATCAATGGCCAGAAGGACCAAGCCATTAATCATAGGAGAAACATCACAGGGCAATTCACTAGAGTCAATGACATTAAAATTCACCCCCACATCAGCCATAGGAGCCTCCACAGAGGTAGAGACAGGGATGACAGAGCATCATTCATCAGATTAGGATGACCTACATCATTTTTTGGAAATAAGATCGGGCAACTATCCCTCGCATGACCCAGAGATTTACAATGAAAATAGTAAGAGGGAAATTCCTCTATTTCAATAGCTTGAGTATAACCCACGGATTCCGAACCAAGCCATACTTGTTTAGCATATCATTTGGTCACATCCAACTCAACCAAAATACGAGCAACAGAGGGTCGAGTACCATTCACCGTGGCATTATCGATCCTCAAGGGCCTTCCAAACATAGATCCCAACCTGTGCAAGATACGGGGGGAGAACAAATGCGGACGAAGATTTGGAAAGGAAACTCAAATACGGACAATAGGCGATTCCACACTAACATCAAAATGAGGAGTGCATTTAAAGAGTTTCATAAAACAGTTGGATATGAAATAAGACCGATGAGAAAAAACCTTACATTAATCTAGATCATTCACAAGTTTAATCAAAATATTTTTAGGGTTCAAAACTATAACAGAAAAAGCACCTCCAAGATTAAGATTGAAAAAAAAAAATCTGAATAACATCCGGGGGCGGGCGACGGCCCGGAAATTTCCCTACCATAGCAAACTCAAAAGGCACAGCAAGAGCATGAAGTTCCTCATCCGAAATAAGCAAAGCAGGTAGACCATGATGAGAAGAAACCCTCAATGGCGGAAACTCCGAAGGAGAAGCTTCACCGGCCAAAGCATCTCGAAAAGACATAGATTTTGGCTTACCATCCAAGAATCCAGGATCTCGTAAGCGATTTGCACCCATACCGACCAAAATCGCAAGAAGCTGGAGGGTTAGGGAAGAAGGAAGAACGAGAGGCGAAGAGCGCGCTCGGAAACCCTAGACATTTCGTTCATTTGGAGTTATATGCTTGAAGTCTTGCAAGAGCATTATATCTGAACAAGCATGTTTAACATTTCGTGTATGTGTGCACGTGCGTGTGTGCCTATATATATTAAACACTAGTGCTATGATATTTTGTGATTAAGCTATGTGCTATCTTTATTATTGTGCGTATATTTCCATCACTTATTTACTATTACTTTCGTAACTATGTCACATTATAATTTAAGTTTTTTTTTTTTTTTTTTTTTTGGCCAATTTTTTTATTGCTTTCTAAAACAACTTTTTAGTACAGAATTTTTTCAATTCAATAATTTTTTTACTAAAACTTTACTTTAGAAAACAATAACAAAGCTATCCCAAGTAAAATTTTAATTATATACAATAATAAAAAAATTTCTTCAGATAAAACTGTATGACAGTTAAGTCGCTTATAAAATTTTCATTTTTTATTGCGTAGCTTGGTTAATTTGTTGCGTAGCATAAAATTTTCATTTGTGTAACAAATGTTCTTTTCTAAAATAACAAAGGTCAACAGATAGTCTACCACTAGTCGAGCAAAGACTACAAATTCCAAGCTTCAATCACATGAAAAAATTAAAATCATGACGCTTATAAAATTTTCATTTTTTATTGCGTAGCTTGGTTAATTTGTTGCGTAGCATAAAATTTTCATTTGTGTAACAAATGTTCTTTTCTAAAATAACAAAGGTCAACAGATAGTCTACCACTAGTCTAGCAAAGACTACAAATTCCAAGCTTCAATCACATAAAAAAATTAAAATCACGAAAGAAAAATTAAACACGCATCCATTTAAATATCCTATCATCAATATTACACAAAAGACTCGGCTACAAAGCTTCCACATACCAAACCAAACTAACCACCCCTGTTAATTTTTCCCCAAAAAAAGAATGATAATACATAAATATAAAATTTAAAAAAAAAACTTCAATTTGTCGTCAGCTAATTAATAAAGCTGGAGTTATTTGTTTTGCATCTTAATCCTCCTCTTTATCTCTCTCTCCAACTCTTCAGAACCACCTACCTCCTCCAATTCCTTTGCAACATGAACAGCAAATGAGCAACAGTTCTTCAAGACCATTAGAGAAAAATAACATGGAGATTCAATGGCGAATAAGTTTTTCATTAAGCTATATCTTTGTTCAAATAGTTATATATATACATGAATATTTTTTTTCTTTATTATTGTGTCATATTAATAGTCAAATTCTTATTTAAGATAATTTTCTTATTGCTTTGTTTTTCATATTGAAATCACAATTTCTATATGGTCATTGCTTTTTTCTTGCTTTCAAAAAAATTTTGTACAAAAAACTAATTTTTACAGCTGCTTTAAAAAATGTCTTTATATGTAGTAGCTTTATAAAACAGTAAGAAAGCTATCCTAAACGAAGCCTAATAGCTGCTTTAGCAAGCAATAAGAAAGGTGTTCCAAAGGAAGCATTAGATTTTATTTGGGGCAGCTTTCTTCTTGTTTTTTAAAATAACTTTTACTACAAAAATTTTTTGTACTAATACTTTTTTACTAAAAATCAATTTTGAAAAGCAGTAAAAAGTTATCGCAAACAAAATCTAAGACTTTATTATTTTTTAAAATAATTTTTTAGTGAAAAAAAATTTAGTTAAAAAAAAAATTATACTAAAAAAATATTAAAAAAGCTATCATCATAAATGAAGCTTATATCTATAAAAACGACAACGCACCTTTGGTCCCATAAAAAGCCCATAGGGAACGCCCTCAAATTTGTCCGAATGGTGGATCTGCGGCCACGTCATATTGATTAGAAAGAGTTAAGAAAATAGCAATAATCGTCATTCTGCATTGGAAAGTGCACGAACAATCGAGAGGATCGGTACCTGATGAGCAGCGGCTACTCGCCGGAAATAAGGCACGTCGGCGATTGGGCCCACCGGGAATCTCCGGTGTACAAGCCCGTCGTGAACGAACATGTATGCAATCCCGAACAACGTAATCCCCAAACCCTGTCATTTCGCGACACGTGGACTCGTCAGATACGATTATGATTTTTGTTTTCTTTATGTTGTTATTCCGTTAGCTTTTAATTTGCAGCGTCTAACGATATTTTTTTTAAAGATAATTATATTTTTATGAAGATTTTGAATTATATATTATATATATCACGATATTTTAATATAATTTTAGTTAAGATAACCTTAAAATCGTTTGATTTATTTTGATATTAAGATCATATAAAGAGAATTTATAATACATGTATTAAAATAAATTTCATAATTTTGTATTTCATCAAAACAAAAATAATATGTATCTTGTAAGTTGTAATTATATATCGTAATAAATAATGGTGAGGATAAAAAAATTATTGGGTATATCCGATAATCATTTTTTAAAAGTACACAAATTACTAAAATTTATTTCATACGAACTTACTCCTAATAGAAAATAACATCTTGTAATTATGAATTGATCATAAACTCTAAGTCAATCTAAATTATTTTGAACTAATTCAAAATCAACAATATTCAAACCTTGTATAAACTCTATGGCTCGAACATCATAAATTTCAACTACTTCGAACGCTTCGGTGAGGAGTGAAGTCCACCATAGAAAGTAATGATAGGACTCATTGCGTACATGAAGAGTTTATTGGACTAATAATAATTGAACAAGTTTATGGGACTGACAGAATTTGTATGAAAATTGACGTTTGAGGGATTGGTAACTTTCGCAAGACCACAGTGTTCGCAAAACTGACTAATTAGATCATTAGTTGTTATTTATTTTGTGGTTCATGGAAATCCATAGGAGAGTTGACATTTCACAAAATTGATGACATTCGAGGACGATGTAAAGGAGTTTGGGGATCAATGACTACGACAAAGGATGCTAAGAAAGGCATCGCTACCACCGCCACCTTCATTTGAAGGAAGAGAGGGGCCGTGGATAAAAAAAAAAAATTGGGATAATTTATGTGTTTTAGCCCATATAAAATCATAATAAAAATTTTGAAGGAATATTCGATTCATATCAATAATCTTGTCCCAAAAAAATCTAGTACAGCAAACAGTTGGTTGAGACTCGTATCTCTAACTTACAAGAAATTATCATATGCGGGTTCGGAAGTAGCTTGCGTCCAGACTCCAATAAAATTAAGCCGTTCAGACTCCTCAGTGCGGAGTCCGAATATAACTCACATTGAGACTCCAATTAAACACATGGAGACTCCGCACTAAATAATTTCTCCCAACTTAGAAGTTACAACTCTCCATTCGATGTACCTAATCAAACCCTTCAACGGATTGGGATAAAATCGCTCACTAGCCAATGAAATAAAAGTTGCTCAACATCATATGGTAAGTTGGTGAAATAATTTATATAGCAGTAACAGAAAAAAACAGAGTGACTTACAGCGCCAAAGCAGAGGCCAGGAACGAGACCACGGTGGAAGAAGCCATAGGAGAGAAGGAAGATTGCTGGAACGGCGTTGATGATGGCGAAGACGTCGTTGAGCTCGAAGGGCCCGTCCCTCGGCCGGTGATGCGATTCATGCATATGCCACAGCGACGCGTGCCACAGCGCCCGGTGAGCCCATCTCGCCCAAAACTCCATTCCCACCTAAACCATTCAACTATTTTAATTCTCATATCCGGATATGCTTCTTCAATCTAATCAATTCGTATCATGGAATAGGAGGCGGGAATTAATCAATCAAATAACCGTACCGCAGCACCCACGGAGAGAGAGAAGGTCCCTAGCATTTCGGTAAAGGGAACCTCGCCGCCCTGCAATTAGGTCAAATTTAGAAAAGCAATCGAAGGAGGAGAAGGAGAATGAGGATTAGGGTTTCGAGTTTCTAGTTTCTAATATCGACCTCCATTTGCCAGGCGAATCTGTAGTAGACAGCAGCGATGGCCATGGAAGTGATGCCGAAGCTCGACATAACCGCGGCGATCAAATATGTCCGCCGCTCCGCCCGTTTTCGAGCCATTCGACTCTCCGCACGGGAGGCGGAGATTCGCATCGCTTCTTCCTTCAGCTCATGGGCTGTGGACTCCGGCGGCAGTGAAGGGATTGCAGTTTTGTCAGAGGGATTGGAATCGGCTTCATTCATGACAAAACAGATCGTCGCCGGGTGATTCCTCAGGGTTCGGGACGGATGAATGAAGAGCGTAGTGCTACGGCGAGTGGAAAGGGGTGAGAATAGTAGGACGTCGCTGGGGCGCTGAGCCAAGGACAATCCGAAGGGGATTCTAGCAAGGCTCCAAGATCTCAGCTTCATTGAAGCGGCGGAGATCCCGACCTCCATGATTCTCTGCTACGGCTTCAAAGCAGCCGCGATTTTGCCTGTTTCCCTCTCTAACTTGCAGATGGAGCCCGTGAGAGCGATAAGGAGAGGGAGGGATGTTATTTGTAAGCTGTGAAGAACGAACACCACACAAGCAGAGGAGACTTCACTTACAGCAGCTGGTCATTTAAGCTCACGTGGCTTATAAGAATGGCCACCGCGTTGAAAATAAATTACATGGATTGCCATTCCTTGTGACGGAATGTGCTATTAATTAGTTATTAACCGTACTTGATCATACTTTATGTTAATAATTGGAGCATAAATATTTGATTATTATTATTATTATTTTTTTTTGTGACGAGGAAGCACTGTCCTTAGGCCGGTGAAAACAACCCACACTAATTTATAAGGGAAAACACTTAAGGCTTTCACTGCTTGCCAAGGGATTTGAACCTTGGATCTAGGCTTTGCCCAGCCGGCTATTCACCACCCGGACAAGCAGCGGTGGGTATATAAATATTTGATAATTTGAAGGACAGTTTGTTCATTTAACTATGGATATTAAATCCAGTTAGTAAGTTGGATGAACCTTAATGCTTGATTTGGGATAATTTTTTTATTATTTTTTAAAGTAAATTTTTAGTAAAAAAATTTTTGAATTAAAAACTTTTATACTAAAAAACAGTTTTAAAAAGTTGTAAGAAAGCTATTCCAAAAAAAATATAAGGCTTCGTTTGGGAACGCTTACTTTTTTAACGGCTTTTCTTACTGCTTCTTAAAATAATTTTCTATACAAAAATTAATAAATTTATACTAAAAAATTATTTAAAAAACAGTAAGAAAATCGTTCTAAAACAAAACCTAATGTCATGAGGTAGTCATAAGTGTTTGTTATTTTTTTTTATAAGATTAGTGTGAAAGCCTTTCAAATGATTAGAAATTAAATTTATGAACATTATTGTGTGGGATGTGTCACTCACCATTCAATTAGAATAGGGAAAATAAACATTTAAAACCTAACTATCTATGCAAATATCTAAGATCCCCCAAAAATTGCCCATAATTAATTAGGTCTTCCTACCTAGGGATCTTTTATGCGTATATAATATAGGAGAACAACAATTAATTTTAAAGAAATTTTTAATTATAATATATATATATATATATATATATTATATATATAAATAATATATATATATATATATATAAAAAGTTAAATAACATTGCCATTACACTTACTCCCTCACTCTCATTTTATTTGGCTGGGAAGGAAAGAAAAAGAAGAAGAAGACAGGAAGATACTGAGGAGAGGAGAGAGAAAAGAAAGGAAGCTCATTGAGGCTTCTTTGTTCATTGTTCTAGTTACCAAAGTTGTTGTACTCGTTATAATTGATTATACTCTTACTCATATTTTTAATGATTTTTATTTTAACAATTTTAATTCTTTTCGAAAGTGATAAAAAATGCATTTTCTCCAAACTTATCGAGATTTTAGCGCGTAACTTTTCATATATGATATATTTGATATTCATGAGCTTTTTTACTGTAATATGATTGAATTTCACCAAGTAAATTAGAAGTTATAAATTTTAAAATTAAAAATATAGTATTTAATTTTTGTAGATTTTTTTTTTTTTTGTATTTCATGGATTATTATATTTCATATATGATATTGCATTGTATAGAGAAAATTATAAAATTAATATATAAGATAAATATGGATTTTTTTTTTTTCTGGAAGGAGAAGGCTGCTTCTATAATTGTAGAATTTATATGTAAACAAAGAAGATTGGATGTTAAAACTATAATCAATATATGTTGAATCTTAAAATATAATACCCTACACAGTAGAGTAATCCGACGAGCTTTCCTTAAAATAAAATATTTGTGATATGATCCTTAATGTAGCTTGCAACTTATTGTTTGAATTATACTGATGGGTTAAGAATGATGACTCTTCATTAATTATTAAAAGTCACCTCTAAATTAACTTAAGATAATGAATAATTATGGTAACATAAAGACTAATAACCAACTGGTCAATAGTTAGGATTAAATTAAAAACTAATGACTAACTAGTCAATAGTTATGGTGGAAGGATCAAAATACCACATTAAAGTTACATGTCTTACCTTACCTATTCACAATTACATTTATGATTAGATTTAAATTATAATATATTGAACTTATTGATAGATAGAATTGATTGAACTAACATTGATAATGATCCAACGACATAGCATAATGTATATAGGTCTCAATTGATTGATAATCCTATTTACCAGTTTTTTTATAGTTTGATATATCTCGTTTGATTTTATTGATTATATTAATTTATTATTGATTGATACAAATTTTATAGATTGATTATTAATTTTTAATTGATATGGACGAAAACTAGAGTAGGTAGATTGATTCTTTTACCTTGCATTGAATATAGTTGTAAGATTTTGTTACTTGTTGGGCTTTATGATTATTATATGATTTCATGTAAAAGTAAAGAGCCTACAGCTAGTTTAGTTATATTTTCATCTATTTAGTTTATATGTATTCTTTTATAGTATATAGTGGCTATTATATATTTTATTTTGGACTTTGGACTTTGAACCAAAAATATAAATATTGATCATGAAAATATAATTATGTTTATCGTTGTTTATATTCTTCTTGAATGCAATTATTTAGCACTAGTTATTAACAAATCTAGTTCTTGAAGAACTGAAATGATAAAACGATAATAACCAAGGAAAAAAAATATGATTCTTTAACTTTTGATCTCGAGGTCTTACAAATTACTTGAGTTATTTTAGACTTAGTGTATGGTTCCTCCATAGGCATTTTCCTCGACCATCTCTCTAGCTTAACCGAGATGAACTCCTTTAGGTTTTCCAGTCATGATAAGATCACCTATTAGATTTTAGAAGCATCATCAATTCATGTATCAGGTCATAACCCCCTTTGTGAAAGGTACAATACTTAGAGAAATCTAAGGCATAAACACATGCCTCCATATATAATAGGCTACAAAAGTAGCTAGCCTTCATCTTGAATGGCTTAAGAAACCTTGGTCCTTGATTCTTTAAGTTGAGTAATAGTCATGTACCAGCAAAGGTGAATTTACCCTCCTTTCAACCTCCATTTTTTTTTCTCGCACTTCTTGGGATTATAACCATGATGTTGGTGATGTTATTTTTATTATGAATGATAGAAACTCAACATTTCACTTGGCCTCAAATTTCTAGGTTGACTTTAGTTTTTCCTCAAAAATTACCAGGTACTCCTTACCTAAATGAAGTCTCATTATTGACTTGGTCCTGGTCGACTTCCGATTACTAACTCATTATTATACTCTTTAGTATTAGTATGGTTGTATGCAAGTTCAAGCAATAAGGATATTCAATTGCTGTAGGTTGAGTGTATATCTAACAGATCCCTTCTTCAAATCTTAGGCGAGTGCAATCTAAGTCATCATCACCTGTTTGATTAATATTACAATAAAATTCCTCAAGGATATCCCTTACTCTTGCCAATATTTTTAATAAATATTGGCAATAGTTTTGAGGTGTTTAAGCTCAAGAATTGGGTGATGAATTGCCTCTTAAACTCAATGAATGAGGTAGTAAGTCCAAGAAAAAGATGGGAAGACAACTTAAGTGGCAACTTCTTGTAGGAGAAATAAACTACATATTTGAAAATTTATAGTTTTGTGATCAAATAATATATTGTCTCAAAAGATAAAAATGATATATTCTATAATATATTTAAAAATAAAAATAGATTTTTAAAAATAATTACATTACCAAAAATGATATGTTGTATTAGAAAAATATATTATTTAAATAGGTTTTCTAGTATTAGAATATTGAGAACTTGACTCTCCCTATTTATTGATATCATCAAGAACAACATAAAAAACTTAAGTATTTATTTTTAGGAGCTTATTTGATTTATTGATATCATCAAGAACATCATAAAAAACTTAATTATTTATTTTTAGGAGCTTATTTGGATTTCAATAATTTTCTAAAATTCAGGCTAATTAAGGGAGTTTATTAACCTAGGAATCAGTGTTTGAGTTTTCAAACTCCAAATAAATTCAAAATTTCCAAAAAAAATATCTTGCAAGTCAAATGTTAAATGTACAAAACTTCCTGAAATTTTGAAGTTATTTGGAATTATTTATGATTCATTATGATATATTGAAATAATTTTTAATTACTTTTAAAATTTTGATAAAGCATGTTTACTATTGCAAAAAAATACTCAAATATATTTTTCTATTATTCTAGATTTCATTAGTAGTTCATTGCACTATGCATTATAATTTTAGGATTTTTCATTAATTAATTATGAATTTTATAAATTTAAGGGATCATTATGAGATTATTCTTGTATTAAGATTTCGGTTTGGTTATTAACGTCCAAAATGAACTCCAATCTTCATAAAATTTAAGTCACATTATTTTCATATGGTTAAGGATCAACTATTAACTTAAAAAAATTATGAAACTCTAAGTTTAATAATGAAATAATTAAATAAATTAAAAATTATAAAATTTATTATTAATTCAAGAAAAGTAAAAAATGCTAGTAAATTTCATGAAATACTAAGTTCTCACATCAATTTTAAGATATATATGAGGCTACTAGTTTCTC